CCCCAAAACCCCAAAACCCCAAAACCCCATGCATAATTTATAGTTTTGAATTAGGTTAAACTTTAAGTTAGCAAAATCTTTAAATTTCTTATCACAAACAATTGAAAAAATAAAATAAAATTTTAATATGACTCAAATTAAACTATTTATTATGTACTTTCTCAATATACATTTCTCTTTTTTGCTTGCAAAGTCATGATAATTTAATTTCTAAGAGAGTTTTAAGCAAAACTTAGTTACAATCTTAATATTTGGAGATGGATCCTTAGAAGACTTAGAGAGAAATTTAAATTATGCTATCAATTAGCCAATTGCTAATCATGATATTGAGGTTTTAGCTGCAGTAAATAGAAAAGAGGTGATTTCTTAACTTAATACTTAATTATAAAGCAATACCAATATTCAATTTATCGAGACTAAGAATAATGAAGACTTTATAAAGATAATGCAAGAATATTCAAACAAAATAAATGGAGAATATGTCGTATTGATTCATTCTTAAACTATAAATAAGATAGATCGAATAAATTAATAAATCAAATATTCTAGAACTTTAGAATGTAATGTTATCTTTTCAGACATTGAAATTTTAAAAGATCAAGAAAAGATCTGGGATAATTCTTATTTATTTGATTTAGACTATACAAGAAGTCTTGATGTGATCTTATTTTCATTTGATTTCAGATTCTATCCAACCTTAGTTTCTAGAATGGCATTTTTGGTTGAAGTTTTAAGTTAAGGACATATTGAAAATCGATACGATATGATTGGTTAAATTATAAAAAATGAATAAAACATATGTTATACGAATAGCTCTTAGGTTAAAATGACTTTAAAGCAGTATAAGGACATTCTATTTTATGACTCTATTGTTCGACCTTAAAATGATTCTATAAAATATTTGCAGTATAACTCTTACTTGAACGCTAGAAATGTCACTATTACTACAGTATAATTTTCTAAACTTATGAACTGCTCTTACGATTATTTTGGATGTGATGAACATACGCTGAGCCTAGTAGGATTTCTAATGATAGAGATGTATTTTACACAAACGGCACTAATACATTCTCAAAAGTCTGAATTCCTGAACCATATAGAGCAAATTTACAGTCATTTAAACAAATTTGAATTAGTTAGATAAGATCCTCGATAATACCCTTTAGCCTCGATAGTTATGGCTAGTCATAATAGAGATTACTATCTAATGAAATCAATTCAGCATGTATTTTTATAGACTTATGTAAATTGGGAATTACTTATCTCAGATGACGGTTCAAGCAACCCAAAGACATTATAAATTCTTCAGTTAATTGAGAATCATCCAAGAATCAAAGTATTTTTTCTTCATACAAATTAATATGCAGTTTTTGCATTAAATCATGCAATTACATAGATAAGAGGAGAGTATCTTTCTATTTAAGATGATGATGATATTATGCTCCCATATAGATTGAATTACTAAATTGATTTTCTAAAAAGAAATCCCAATTATGAAGTTTGTGGATCACCTCATTATAATATTGATGAAATCGGGTAGCTGAGAGGTTATGGAAGATATATGTTTAAAAACTTTGCTGTGATAAAGTTTATTTATATGATAGCAAACTACTTCCCCCATAGTACGTTTACAGTTAGGTTAACTCCTAGAATGAAAAAACACTTTTTTTACAATCATTAGACAGCTTATGATTATTCTCTTTGGTTCAAACTTTTATTTGATCTAGATGAAGATGTCAGATTTGCTAGCTTACCAAATTATGTATCTGGATCTAGAATTCATGAATAACGGATGACAAATGATAATTTTGAAACAAACCACTATGCAAAATGGATTCCAATAAAATAAATCGAAATACTTGAAAAGCTTATTCCTGACATTTTTGAAAATGTGAATTTCAAATGCTTTGAAAGAACAATGGGTATGCTTAGTTATAATAATGATTTTATATACACGTGTCCTAATCTAGACGTTCATAATTTAATATCAAATGTGACTACTGCTTTAAAAAATTAGAAATTTTTGACCTAATAAGATATTTAAGATTTAGACTCGTTTTTTAATAATTTGCATAATGCTTACAAATAAAAACTAATAGAAGATAATGTTAAATTTTTGTACTAAAAGAGGATCTTTGATTGTGTTTTACATTTTGGATAGATTCAACCCCTACTACTTCACATTGAGCAATTAAAGGATTATGTTGATTATTTTGCTATACTCTATTTAATACATCCTAATGAAGAAGTTTAATTAGACGATATTTATAAGCATAAAACTATAAAAGACAATGAAGAAAAGATATTACTCCATTTAATCAAAGTTACAGAAGAATAGTTTGAATAATATTAAACAAATCTAGATGCTGGAATAGCTTATTAATTCACAAAACTTCTAATATCGAAAAGCATTTGTTATCATGAGGATATCATTCTTACAAACTCACTTGAAATTATAAATCCCTAATAATTGTTGAGATTTCAAAAGCTGAATTCAGATTTAGGAATTTTCGGATTAAGACCACTTTCCGCACTTGATCAGCAAAATGTGACGTAATATTCAAAATCTAAAATCATGTAATATCGATTATTTGAGAAATTCGGCTATTAAAAAGCAAGAGATTTTGTGATAGATCCTGACATATATAAATAATTGAATAAACCAGCATTCGAGGATAAAATATAAACTTTGCTTTTTAATGAAAACTACCTTAATGTATAGACTTTGAAAGATGCTGGTATATATATTGATAATAATGATTGCAGAAGTTAATTTTAAAGTGAAGAGTCATTTTATATCAAGCAAGACATTTCTAAGATGACATAAGCTGAAAAAAGAAAATTATAATATTTTTTCTTCAAAATCAAAGATGAACTTAAATCAATCTGCTATTACAAATACAAAAAACTCTACGAACAATTATTTAATGAGCTTTGAATTATGATATAAAAATATTGATTAATTCATGCTATAATCATTTCATAGCAAATGAACTTATTTACCAATTAATTATTAATATCTCTAATTTAAAAAGGATATTAAAAACAAGGGGTTTTGGGGTTTTGGGGTTTTG